TGTTGAATTCCCTACATTAAACAAAGATGATAAACAAAGAATGCCTTACAATGTAATGAATTTGGAAACTTTCCATCTCATTGCAGTATTAAAACTAATAGTAACTGCTTATTCTGTACAATACAGAATAACTACCAGTAGAGGGCTGTCCGCCATATATCTTGCTTAATTGCATAATTCTTTTACTTGTATAATATTTTCTGACCTGGAATTTATGGCATTAGGTTCCATAATTTAGTGCCATAAATTCCATTAATTTGTTGACGGAACAAAGAGATGTGTACATATAGAGTAAACTGTATTTGATATGATGAGTGTACTTTAGATTAAGATTATTCTGATATAGAATAGACCAGACAAAATCGTAAAAACACTAATTTCATTGATCAGAGAGGAATGTCTCAACAAATGGCTGTTGTTAAAGTGGAGTCCCTAACAAGATTTAAAAAGGAATTGAATAATTAAATGAGGAAAATAATTTGAGCCACAGAGAAAGAGCCGCGGAATGGAAATAGAGCAGCTACCTCCAGTGGGGGCAAACACCAGCACAGACAAGATGCATTGAATGGCCTTCTGTTCTGCAAACCTTCTCTGACTATAAGCATCTGTCAATCACTGAGGAAAGGATGACCAAACCACACAAACATGTCCCAAAATATATAGTTTGTGTTCAAATCTCCTCATACTGATAGCCTGTGAAATTGTGTCTAATACTCATTATAACACTGCTTGCAGTTGATATAGAGCCTTTCATGTCGGGAGGATGCCTCAAAGCACTTCAAAGGATTTATAGTCAAATGCAGTAACTGTGTATTTTATAAGCAAATCCAGCAGGCAATTTGTGCACAGCAATGTCTCACAAGCAGCCATGAAGTGAATGAATAATTTAATCTGGGGAATTGTTGATCAGGACACCGGGAGAATCTTCTCTTCTCTTTTCAAATAGTGCCAAGGGATCCTTAATGTCTGCTTAAACAGGCAGATAGGATCTCAGTTTAATGTCTAATCCGAAGGATGGCACCTTCAGCACTGCATTGGAGTGCCAACCTAGACTGTGAGTTCAAAGTCCTGACATGGGGCTTGAACCCACAACCGTCTGACTGAGAAACATGAGGGATAGGAGAGAGCCAGGCTGATATTCAATAGGAAATAATTCTGGGACAGTGCCATATTAAAAGCCCCAGATTGCTAACTTCTTTAACAAACCTAATTGTTATCTTTACCTTGACTATAATGTCAGTACTATCATTTCAATTGGATTTGTTGAATTACAACTAGACACTTGATGATTGCACTCTCTGCAGATTGTAGATTCTATTATTTTTCCCATGTCCTCTGGACCCTTTCACTATCCCATCCTCTAAGCTTATGGCAGAGATTGTACGCTTTAGCCAAAAGACAATTCTCTACCTCTTTTGTTCAATTAGGTTATGAGCCCGCTGCAAATATATCCGTATAAAACCAAACCACAGGGCATCTGAAATTCCTGACTTACTTCTGGAATGAATTGATTGTCTGGGCCCATTCATTATATATCAATATACATTGCCTACACTTCCAAGACATTTATGATAATTTCAGGCACTACATTTCCACAAAATGGGGCATGTATGCACAAAGACAATCTAGCCCAAAGTGTTTAAATTCTCACAGGTATTAAGATGAAAAGGTCTTTGGAATAGAGGTAAGGGCATAAAACAGGTTCTTCTATCTCTAATCCAGCCAGACAATCTCATTCCTCCCCAGGTTGACCCATCTTGCTCAGCATCGTAATTTAAAAACCCAATCATTTAACCTGAGCTCTGACAATCCAAGACCTCCCCTGGCCTTATCCCTTGGCAATTTAACCAGACTAATTCTCAGCTTACACTTCCCATAAAAAATATGGAACATCTTTTTTCTAATCTTAAACCAGTTGGCTTCAGCCACTGACTCATGGAGAATATTTATTTCATCCAGGGCATCACATTAAGAACATTCATTTTCTCTTGGACATAAAGGTTCAGTAGTTTCCACCTATCAAATTCCCTCCAAATACTTTGTCACTTATTTAATTTGATGCTAATTTTGAAACAAACTTGATACTGAAAAGGATAAGAACTAGAAACCAACAGAACATTTCTATTTATAGCACTTCTTTCTCTTATGCATTTCCCTCCATATAATCCGTTTGATCCATAAGTCGCTATATCCATTTCTTCTACATCAATACTGTATTTCAGTGATTGTATTTGCCTTTCATTTTCAACTATAATTTTTAATCTAAATTATAAAGCATGCAAGGAAAATTCTTGAACATTTAGTGCAGTGATGTAGTGATCAAGCATGTGTAATAAAGTAAGTGATTTTTGCACTCCATACATAACTCAGTTCGGACTGGTTACTCATTGCACAGTGTCTGGAATTTTCAATAGCTCTGCATAATGTCACTATCTCAGACTCACCATTCTTATAGATTTCCTTGCGATACAAATAACCAGGTATGCAATAAAACAACAGGTGCCTGCTCAAACTAATGAAAAGCTCAGCCTCCAGTAAATTACCTCATGTTCCAAGCTTACTCTTCTCCCTCATTGTAGGGGCTACTCTCACAAGCAATCTCTGCAATATATTGCTGCTACGATGATTACTATAGTTCACTTGAAGAACACAGTCAGGCGTGAGCCATTAATGTTATCTGCAACAATGCAAGGGGCACATATCAGTAAACCCATTCCACTTACATTTGCACTGATTTTTTTTGCTCCAGTTTTAACAATGTTATTGGAGAGCATTTCATCTGAGCAGTCACCAATGCTTTCTCTCCTTTGTTGCAGTGAACAAGCAGGTGGTGTTATAATGCCACAATATTCCAGTGTCATGCATCAGGGTTTGTTAAAGATCGAATATGACTGGTAGCCCAAACTTGCAAATTAATTTTTTTCCTGAAGTTATTTCATTACTTCCTGCAATATAAGTAATAAGTATGTAGATGATCTGAGCAGGCATACACATCTCAATCAGTTACTATATTGTTGCTCGACTCTGAGGCACAATGGTAATTATAGCATTGTCCAAAAGTTGCAACAGGTTCAAGGCTTCCATTTAAACTTTTAAATTGAATACATAAAACTCTCCTTGACACGAGCAACGGACAAATCTGTTAGGAATAATCAGTCTCAGTGGGAATAAAAATCAGAACAATGTTCAGGTCTTGTACCAAGCCTTATTGCTGTAATCTTTTGAAATACATGTATAATGTTTTTGATTGCACATGTTGGCATGTTGAATGAAAACTACAAATATGAAGATGTACAAGTATTAATAATTGACAATTCTTACATTAATGTGTTATTCCCATTGTCTACATGTACAAGTACAAACTGGTAAAGCAATGAGCATGATTGTGTTTGTCCATCTAAATGTATGCTGCTAACAGGAGCAGTACATTATATCAAAACCCCTTTGGCAGAAGCAGCCCAGCTGTGCACTCTACCTATTTGGTTCTACTCTGGTCTCTAAGGATCCCCAGATTTGGTACAGTTATTGCTTTTAGATCACATTCTTATTGACTAATGTCAGCCTGGTCATTCATCTCGAGGACAGATGTCACAATTGCAGTGCTATCTTGTGACATATTGTGGACATTTTCTTCTGGAAGTACCTCTTTAAGGCAGGGTGCAATAGGTTAAGCTTCTAGACAGAATCAAAAATACAACTGATTGCACCATTCTATTTATTTTGTAGGAATTACTTTCAAAAGTTTAAAGTAGGAGCCACAGGAGCAATCAATATACTGAAAGCCAGTAACAGACATTATCCTGAAACATTAGTAAAGAGGTGATCCTTGTGAATCGAGGTTGGCAATATTTTAGTTTCTCACAATTACTTTGAGAAAGTTTCACATTCAGTGGGCCTACCATTGTATTTTAAATAGTCAGGTATTTGACCTTCAACATGTCATTTTAATTGATAAGATTTAACCAGTAAGAACTGAATTCAGCGCAAGTGATCTTCCAACATGATACCTTTTCAAAAACTCAGCATATCCAAACACACTTATAGCTAATGTTCTGCAATAGTATTTTATAGCTTTCATTTTGCCTCACTTTTACCAGCGAATCAATGCTTGTTAATTAGTTTTCACTGCAGTTAAAAATGACCAAGTGCACGATCAAGTCAAATACATTTGTTTCCATAGGAGGAGCGATCAATGTGTACCTCATTAACTTGTAGCACCAGCCCAAGAATCATTACAATCCACAGTAGTTTAGGAAAAGATTGGGTGGGGAAGAGAACAAAGCAACATAAATGAATTTTATTCCATTTTCCAAAATGTTCCAAAAGAAGATTAGATAGCTGAGTGTCCCTTTTTGATTTTCAAATTAGGATCTACCTTTTCAAATTAGGATCTATCTTCTTTTTCCATTCATTTTTGTATTATCTTTAAACTAAAGAAAATGCTCAGGTCAGCAAATAATTATTAGATTAGAGTTCGGATTTTATTTCAGTTTCTTTGCAGTTTCTAATCAAAATGTTTTCTATTTTGTTTTAATCTAATTTGTCCTATTTGTGCAATTCAATATTGTTGATTTACATCTCTGCCTATGTTAAACTATATGTAAAGCTTTTGTGCAAAATTGTGCAGTGAAGAGTTATTTTACACTCATCTGGGCACAAGCATTAATAGTCTTGGAAATTTTTGACGATGGAGATTTTGAAGATGGATGAATAAAACATTGTTTCTGAATTGCATCTTTTCTGTTTTATCTAGTTTAGTGTACAGCTAACGGAATGATGACAGAAAAAGCAAAACGTATTCATGCGTGGAAAAGTCTTATATGATGAGATACTGCTAAATTATTGAACACGTAACAGTGTGCACTTTAATCAGGGTTATTCAAAGTGCACCCGTGTGTTGTGGCACAATTTAAATTGCTTTACAAATGTAGCTCTAATTTGGGTTATTGTGTACCTGCTCTGCTGCCAGTAAGCATGAACCAATTTTCTACAAAACTAACCGTGCTCAATGGCTGCTTTTAGTGTAGCTTCAGGATGTGTTGATCCAAATGAGTTGCGAACGAAACGTCGGCGGCGCCGCAAGTCATCTTCCCAGTAGTCAAGGCGCCAGAACTCACGAGGACGACTGCAATGAAACAGAGGCACCACATATGTTAGCAATTATCAAACAGCATGGTAGCCCATAAGTAAGGAATAAAGATCTCCTTGTTTTCTTGGCCGTTTTGCAGTCTGAAACCTTTAAGTTAGGTTTGTCCTTGAAAATAACAATATCACCTTCCAGACTAAGAAACCCCTTTCCCTTTTTTCTTGGAAGGTGAAATGAGCACTAAATACATCATTTTGAAATGAATTGCTGACAGTGTGATCAGTTTCCCCACACTCTCGTGGCATGTGCTCTGATTTCAGCCTCATTTCAGCCTCAGCAGGACACCTTTAGCTGTGACTGCGTTTATAAACCAGAATAGGGAAAAGGCCATTATAAATATGGTATAGCATTACCTATATTAATCAAAGTCTACCCCTTCATCATTTTTCTTCCCAATTTGTGTGTTTTCACACAGGGTCAGTAAATCATACCTTGCATTCTCAGTCCAGAAAGTGTTAACTTTAATGAACACCACTGTTACGCGGGTACATGAGAGATAATAAAATATTACTCTATTTAGACGTGCAGAAATTTAATTAAAATAATCTCTTAAAATATTCATTACATTTAGCCCCTGAGGCACAGAGTAATGCCAAGAAAATGCATTTCCTCTCCTTTAGTGATTTTTTTTAAGGAACCTATTCCTGCAGAAAGACAAGGTAATACATTTAAAACAGATGACATTTATTTTTTCCAACATTACTTTAGGAGGCAAAATGTCAAGCACACCTAATTTTAATCAGCAAAATACAATAAAAAGGTAATGCTAATCTTTTTATCTGTTCATGTCAAATTGAAAGAAGGCTCTACTATGTAGGACAAAGAAACCTCCACTTTCATTTACAGTAACTTTGTAGTTTTCAAAAAAGAACAGCACACTTAAGAATTGCTAAAGATAAGATACATAAATTTTATTCAGTGGAGCGTAACGTTTCTAAGTCAATATTATATGATCAGATTTCCTTGTTTTACTTCATTTTAAGTCAGTGGACGTTTACAAGCAGCATTTTATAAGTGCACAGAAGATGCACTACATTACAGATGAAAGAACAATATTATTAAAACAATATTTCAACCACCAAGTTTTATATGTTATTTGCCGTAGACAGCAAGAATACACAAGCGTACCACAGGGAGAGTGGAGAGTGATTTCTAATACTACAGAAGGTGCCTCTAGTGCAAAACAATTCACTTAGGAACTACAATCTGAATAAGCACTAGAATTCAATAAAAAGTGGATAATTCTATTTGTATGTCAGTATATTATTCACATTACACAGCAGCATGTGAATTTATGTCTACAGCTTCATCAAAATAATTAAGCTATTATATCATACATTAATTCACTAATATGTGCTTCAAAATCTGTTTCATATTGTACATTTTCTTGAAGTTAATCATTAACTTTTCATGAACAAATGTGTGTACATCCTGTCCTCTATATCTATGCAACAGACAATATTGAAATAAAAAGAAATTAAAATGCATTTCACTGAAATCTCTTCCTGTTTTTGTTTAAAAAAAACCTAAAAGACATCAGTGACCTAAAATACTTTCAGTTCTTCATTATATTAAAAACTATTCTCGAAAAAACAGTGTGCGGGGTCTATTCCTTCATTTCTAGATTTTAGTCACATACCACAGCCTGTTATGTGTTTGGCTGCGATAGCTGCAGTGCCCAAATAGGCACTTCATCATCCTGGCTTCCAACATTCATCTATTAAAATTATTATCAAATATCTACCGAGATCCAGGCGTGAATCATAGACTGCACCCAGTCTTCTGGGGAAAGATACAATGAAGGTCTATTCATCAGTATGGCAATCGGTAGAAGTAATTAGTTCCCAAGACCTAGATTTCTTACAAAGCTTATTTCACACAGTGAAACAACATATGATAGTGAAAAGCTAATGAAAGCCTGTAAAATGTGTTAACCTCTCTAGCAATCAATCCTCTGTTACTTTGTGTGCTAAATATTTTTTTAAAGCCAATAAATTATTAATTTCTCATCCATCCTTGACAGTTTTTGACAGAATTATGTGATGCCATTCTTCAAGATAACAACAATTAAAATTACAAAAGGAACCTGCAGTGTTCATTTATGCACTCTGTGTGTAATTAGTTCTCCCACAACAAGATGCTCCACTCAAGAGTAATCTTGACAGAAAGCGCATGTTGTCCATTTGCTTCCTCATCATATAATCCCTCCAATTTCTGGATAACTACACATTTTAAATTACTCCATGTAAATTGATCCACGTGCATAACGGACTCAAATCTGCTAGTTTTTATTTTATCAGTAAAAATCACGTTCTACTATAAATATCAACCACTTGTCTGCTTGGAAGCCAGTAATGAAAACAGCAACAATTCTGCTCTGTGTTATATACAGCATTCCATGCTCATCTCCACCTTTGTGCAAGACACAGCTTTATAAATGTATGTAATTTACCACTGATTGATAGTGGTCATTAGCTAGATATCAACGCCTGATCCAATACGCTACACAACAAGATATTCTAGAAAGCAAGGTTGGTTAAGACATAAAGGAATGCTGAAATTATACAAGATTAGTCTGAAGAAAAACGATGAAAATACTCATAAGAAAACAGATATTTTATGTATAGCTTATATTTGCTTTATGTTAGAAGCTCTGTACAATTGTGTATATCCCAATCAATATTCATCACTAACACACCCAGCAACTAGATCAGAAATGAACAGTATACAAAAAATCTTTCAAATCAGTACTGATTTAAATCTTGTCAAGCAAATGTGTGCTCAAGTAAGAAACAAACTAGCCATGAAATGGATATGTTTTTGCAACTATAAAAAACACGATCAAGTTATTCTCCTAACATTTAAAAGGGCATTAGTTCATGTTTAGTTATCAATAGGCCTTAGAATGACACGTTTATGAAAACTGCCGCTACCTTGCAGCAAGTGGTTCTGTATAATTTCAGCTCAAACATGAAAGCTGAAAATAGAATATACAAAATTGCTTTGCTATAATATTAACTGAAACAACTAAATAGAAGCTAAAATACAATGTGTTCCGTATTCACCCTGTAATCTTTGCCTCTCTTCCCTGCCTTCTCTGTCTTAATTTTAAATTTAATATAATTTTTCCCTCATCTGTTATGTACAATCGTTTGTAACATTCTTTAAATCTATTAATTTTACACGTCCATTTTCACCAAGCATTTTGGAGATTAGAACAAACATTTGAAAATGACTCAGATTGCCTGAAAACGGGTGTTAAAGGCTGTTTCCAGCTAATGACATTATGATTTAAAAATCAACCAAACTGGAAAACAGAACTCGCCAACAGAGACAAACTGAAGAAACATACCAAACAATGATCAAAGTGTTCTAGCAATAATTCAGTTTAAATGTATCTGATATAAAGTGGAAAGCTTGGTGCCTTGAATTAACGCAATCACTTTTTAATCAAAGCATCAATCATAATCAAGTCTGCTGGTTAAATAACATGATTCCTAATTTGGAATTAAAGCCATCCAAAATATAAAAAATATATTCAAAAAGTACAGTTGAGGTGCCCAAGTTAAATGCACCATTTGGTTGGATTCCGAGACATACAAACTAGCAGGGTCTATTAGACAAGTTTTGGCCAATTCGAGATGAGATAGTGGTAAGGGAGCTATAGATTGAAGAAAAAGGCAATGAGGTTCACTCTTCATCCACATCAACTGATTCCCACTGGAACATGTACATTAAGATAAAATTAGGTCAAGATTTAGCACAAATGCAACGTCCCGCAAAGTTCAATTGTCTTCTGACAAATTATCCATTCTCTCAAATGAAGAACAGCCACTTGGACAAGACACTGGAGTGAAAGAACAGGAGAAATGTTGAGTGGACTAGGGCACAAGGTAAAAGTACTGATGATACATTCTATATTTCTACTGTGGTATGATGGGTTGCACTAATTGTTAGCAGATGTAAGAGAAAACAAGCTCCAACTCCAGACATTAAAAATAATGCTTGGTCATCATTTTGGAATAAATTGCAGGAATTACAGTCCAGTTACTCGGTTTACAATTATTCAAGCAAAATAATTTGTGGGTTCATATAGCTTTAATAATGAATTACTGAGGTTTAAGTGAGACAAAATGCACCTACGTTAGAAAACTGGTTATCAGTAATCATCTGCATGTCTATTTAAGTTGGATATTGGGCTGTAAAACTAGCAAAAATAATCCAATTATGCACAACACACATGCAAAGTTCTGTGCAAACAGAAATAAATGCACAACCAAGGTTTCTTGACAGAGCAACGGTACTTTTCTATATTTAGAGATAGATAATAATAATAATAATAATAATCCTTGCATTTGATATAGGGCTTTTCACGTCGGGAGGACGTCCCAAAGCGCTTCACAGAACACACTGTAAAGTGAATTGACTGTATATTTGTGGGCGAACGCGGCAGCCAATTGCGCACAGCAATGTCCCACAAACAGTCGTGGATTGAAAATGACCAATTTATTATTGTTTTTGGAGGGATTATTATTAGGCGTGTGGAGTAAGGAAACTTGCCCAAGGTTTCGCCCTGCCTGGAATTGAACTCAGGTCTCTCGCTTGCAAAGCGATAGACATAATATATATGTGCATAAATAAGAGAGCGAGGGAGAAAGAAGTGCTGGCACAGTGTGGAACTACAGTGACAATACAGCTATAGCCCCTGATGGAACAATTTCTTAGTTAGTGCTGCGGTTAATTTGTATTTTGTTTGATGCTCAAATGACTGCACTATTTGCTTATTTACATTTGGGCTGGGCCCAATTAGTGCTGATCATCGGTTCTATACTGAACCACAGCTCAATCTTTAATCAATTAAGGAGACTCCTACTAAAATGTTTCTTTAAGTTTCTGCTTGAGCTCTGGGTTTACAAAGCTGGAAATTGAATACAAAGACTTTATCAATGAAAAAGGCAATCTCTTGTCACCTCCCCCCC